AGAGGAGAATGGAGGAGCAGGGATTGCGGTGTGGCCATCCTCCCTGGGGGATGATTTCTCGCTTTCTATCTCTCTGTCTCTGTCTTTCTGATGAGCGCCCATGCCCTATAGCAAAAACCTAAAAAAACCTAAAAAAATAAGATGAGGGGGCCAGCAGGTGCCATGGAGGTTAAGACGGCTGGATCGCACATGACTGACTGTAGTCTGAGTCCCAGACTTGGTGACTTGAAATCATACCAGACATGTGTGTGTGTGTGTACCCAAGGTGCTAGGAGAATGGAGAAGGGATTGCATGTGTCCATCCCCTCGGGGGTCATTTCTAACTTTCCTTCTCTCTGTGTCTTTCTCTGACATGCACCTAATAGGGGGGGGAAATATATATATATATATATATATAAATAAATAAATAAATATATATAAAGAGACAGACAGACAGACAGACAGACAGCTACATTATTAGGGCTAGCAGGTGGTATGGAGTTTAAGGTAGCTAGATCTCACAGGTTTTGAGTCCCAGACCCAGCAGCTTGAAAAGACACACAGGGTGTGTATGCCTGTGTGCCCACCCCATCCCCTCCAGGGGGAGATTTTTCAGTTTCCCTCTCTGGGGAGTACATGTGACTATAGCAAATTGAAAAAAAAAAAAAAATGGAATTAGAGGCTCGGCCTCAGTGGCACGTTAGCATACTGTTCTGCAACGCTGAAAGCCACTTGACTGTACGTTTGGACCCCATGTGGACCTCAGACATGTAGGTGTTCAGTAACCTAAGACCCTGACTAACTGGCCAGTGGGAGAGGGACATGATGTGTATGACCAGACCGTGCCAGAATGGCTCTCTATTTATCTGTCTCATGAGAGAAAGAAAGAAAATGGGGCGGGGGGAGAGAAAGGAATGAGATCAGAACTGCGTGAATACCTGTAGCTTGTCCTCTGGAACTTTTAACCAATGATTAAATGCTTGTGAAAGTTTGGTTCTCACTTGTTTACCTGCAATTAAAGAATAAAACCAGATAATCAAATATAAGAAAACACATCAACAAATTTCCTTCAAAACTGATCAGACTTGGTGGGAACCAGCAGTTGGCATAATGGCTATGTCTCTGGACTCCCACGTAGTCGACCACAGTTCGAGTCCCGGACCCGGTGGCTTAGAACTCATACCAGGTGCGTGTGCCCGAGATCCCAAGAGGAGAATGGAGAAGGGATTGCAGCGTGACCATCCCCTCTGGGGGGGTGATTTCTTGCTTTCTGTCTCCATGTCTGTCTGTTAGGCGAGCGCATGCGCCCTATAGCGAAAACCTCTCAAAAAACAACAAAAAAACCCTGATCAGACTTGGTGAACACAGCTGCACTCAGCCATCACCTGGAGCAGCCCTCTCTCCCTCCCGTCAACACCAGCACACCCGAGTGCACAACTCTTCCTTTCTTTTCCTGCTATAGGGTGTGTGCTTGTTGCAGAGAGGGGCTAGAGAACCAGAGGTCTCACTCCTAGAAATGGATGGCCAGGCTGTTAACCCCCTCTCCATTCTCCTCTCAGGTTCTGGGCACACATGCATAAGTACCCAGAATGATTTTCAAGCCGGTGGGTCCAGGACTCAAACCATGGAGCTGGCCATGTGGGAATCCAGAGCCTTAAGACGACACCACCCAATGGTCCAACCATTTTTACTTTTTAAAAAATTTGCCAGTGGGGCATGTGTGCTGGTGAGAGAGCGCGCGAGAGAGCGAGCGAGTGCGCGCGTCCACTCCTCCTGATGGGGTGTGGTCACATCGCAATGCCCTCTTCTTCCTATGAGGATTTTGAACATGTATGTATGTGTGTGTGTGTGTGTGTGTATATATATATATATATATATATATACATATATATATGCCTAGTGTGTTTTTCAAGCCACTGGGGTTGAGATTTGAACCACATGGTTGGCCACATGGCTAGCCTTGAAAAGTGCATACCTTTTTATTTATTTATTTTAAAATATTTTTGCTATAGGACGCATATATTTGCCAGAGACACAGAGAGAGAAAATGAGAAATCACCTCCCAGGGAGGATGGCCACACCACAATCTCTCCTCCTTTACTCTCCTCTTGGAATTTTGGGCATTCAGGCACATGTGCCAGGTATGAATTTCAAACAACTGGGTTTGGGCCTGTAACCACAGTCATCCACGTGATAGGCTACTGCCTTAATCACTATGCCACTTGCTGGCCCCAGGAAGCACACAACTTTTATTTATTTAGAGAGATTTTTGCTATAGGGCGCGTGTGTGCACTAGAGATAGATAGATAGAAAGCGAGAAATCACACACCAGGGATGGGGTGACCACAGTGCAGTCTCTTCTCCATTCTCTTGGGACCTTAGGCACGCACGCACACATACCCGGTGTGAGTTTTTTAAGAGTTTTTTTTTTTTTTTTTTTGAGAGGTTTTTCGCTACAGGGCGCGTGCACTCGCCAGACAGACAGAGAGAGAGAGACATAGAGACAGAAAGCGAGAAATCACCCCCCAGGGGGGATGGTCATGCCGCAATCCCTTCTCCTCCATTCTCCTCTCGGGATCTTAGGCATGCACGCACACGCGCCTGGCGTGAGTTTTAAGCCACTGGATCTGGGACTCGAACCATGGTTGACTACATGGAAGCTCAGCAATGTAATCATTTTGGTGTCTGCTGGTCCCAAGTGCACGACTTTTAGAACAGGCAGGCAAGAGATCCTAAAGGACTTCTGTGGCCTCTGGGCCTTCAACCTAACCTGTACCAGTAATTTTGGGATATAATGGACTTTTTTGATTTAACTACTTTTTTTTTTTTTTTTCTTAAAGAAAGCATCTAGTTAACGGCAGTCTGTTAGTGTGACCGATGTCACAGAACTGCAGGTGCTGCTGACAAAGCGCCCTTCACTGCTGAATTACCTGCCACTCCTTTAGGCTCCAGCCGAGACTGGGCAGCTCTGCCGTGCTCCCACCACACTGAGGCTACTACCACGTGGCAAGTGCCTCCTCCTGCCAGTCCTGGGGTTAGCCCACGCTAATCTATTTGGACTAGGGCCATTTTTCTTTTCTTTCCTTTTTTTTGAGAGATTTTTGTTAAAGGGTGCGTGTGCTTGCTAGAGAAATAGACAGAAAGTGAGAAATCACCACCTTCCCAAGAGGGGATGGCCATGCTGCAATCTCCTCTCAGGATTTTGGACATGCACACATATGCGCCTAGCATGAGTTTTAAGCTGCTGGGTCTGGGGCTCAAACTGCAGTCGACTACGTGGGAATCCAGTGATGTAACCATTACACCATCGATTGGTCCCCAAGGGCCATTTTTCAGTATGATTTTTTCTTGACATAGAAACCTCCGGGGAAGGCCTTGGGTAGGTGTCAGGACTAGAGGTAATTTAGCCCGAATGTAAAGGAATGGCAGATAATACTCCCCACCAGTTCGTCTAGTACAAATATTCTGTGAGCTTCCTGCCAAATGAATGCACAGGAACACTGTAATTTCACACTAGGTCTTGGGAAAATAATATGTAAAAAGATTCAATAAACAAAAAAAGGTGGTTTTTGTTTGTTTGTACATGCCTGGTGTGATTTTCAAGTCGTTTCTATATTTTCTCTGCACCAGTCACCCAAACAAGTGAATACACAAACTCTCGGCACAGGTCTACATGGGGCACAGTCTCGCTTTCTGTGAGAGGCTTCCTTCTCGGGGTTCCGGAGGCAGTAGCCTGTCTGCTGCACGGTTCGGTGCATCTGGGATGGAGAGCAGTCACATGGCCTGTGCTTGATTGTCCTCTCACCCTAACAGAGGCTAGCGTAGTACACCTATGTACGACTGCAAAATAATCTGTCACTTTGCTTTTATAAAGACGTATTAATTTAATCTTATTATTTACTTATTTATTTTTAAAAGATTTATTTATTTGTTACTATTATTTTTAAATCTGACCAGAGAGAGAGAGAAAGGGAAAGTAAAAGCAAGCCTCCAGGTCCGGGACTCAAACCACAGTTGGCCATGTGGGAGTCCAGCTCGTCAGCCACCACACCACCTGGTGGCCCCAATTTTATTTGTTATTATTAGTATTCAACTTAGAGTCCTGAATCTGGTGGCTTGTTTTCTCACTTTCTCTCTCTCTCCCTCTTTGGTCAAACTGAAATAAAAAAAAATATAAATAGATAAAGTTAAGTAAAATAATTCTTAAAAACAAAACGTGTCAAATGGCTTAAATGATTCCTTTCAGATAAAGAAAAGGAAGGGGACTCGGCACGGGGCAGAAACTGCGCTGTGTCTCACACCAGGAGGCCCTGAAGTCAGCAAGCACCTAACTGCTGAACAAACGTCACTCCAAAGCAGTCTTGGGCTTTTTCTTTGTTTAAATAAAAGAGTTATTTATCTAATTTATTATTATTATTATTTTTAAAATCTGACCAAAGAGAGAGAAAGGTAAAGTGACAAAGCAAGCTGCCAGGTCCGGGACTCAGACCACAGTCAGCCTTGCAGGAATCCAGTACCTTAGCTACCATGCCACCTGCTGACCTGGGGCTTTCTCTTAAGCGGCGGGAGCTTTTGCCTTTGAATTCTCCATGTCCCTTTTCCCTCTGTAACCCTGAAGTGCTGACACGAGCAGGTGAGTCTCTGAGGGCCTGCCAGGACAGAAAGGACCCTGACTACACCGGGCTTCCAGGGGCAGGCGGCAGTCAGCATTCTTCAGGCTTTTTCCTCCTTTTGGCTTTATGTTCTCTTTTGACTTTTCACCCTCCCCAACCTCATGAAAAAGAGAAATGCACATACACAACTGAGATGGGCTCACAGAGAAAGTGGTGCACGTTAGGACAAAAATCAAAGTATGTCTACTTGGGGCTAGTGGGGGTTGTGGTGGTTAAGGTGCTAGACTTCCCCACATGGCCAAATGAGGTTCGAGTCCCAGACCTGGCTTGCTTTCTCACTTCCCTTCCTCTCTCTGGTCAAATTAAAGAACAATAATAGGGGCCAGCAGGTGGGGCAGTGGCTAAGGGCACTGGACTCCCACATGGCTGACTGTGGCTCGAGTCCTGGACCTGGTAGCTTGCTCTCCTGCTCTGTCCCTCTCTAGTCAAATTAAAATAAATAAAGTTAAATAATTATTTAAAAATAACAAATGGAAATAAATAACCCTTAAAAAATAATAAGTCAATTCTTTAAAAAACAAAAAAATGTTATGAGTTAAATAGGTTTTTTTTCTTTTTTCTTTTTTTTGAGAGATTTTCACTGTAGGGCGTGTGCGCTCGCCAGACAGAGAGAGACATAGAGACAGAAAGCGAGAAATCACCCCCCAGGGGGGATGGTCACGCCGCAATCCCTTCTCCTCCATTCTCCTCTCGGGATCTTGGGCACGCACGCACTCGCGCCCGGCGTGAGTTTTAAGCCACCGGGTCCGGGACACGAACCGCGGTCAACTACGTGGGAGTCCAGCGACATAGCCATTACGCTAACTGCTGGTTCCCAAGTTTTTTTTATTTTTTAGAGAGGTTTTCACTATAGGGCGCGTGCTTAAATAGGTTTTTATGGTTGTCAAAGAAAATTACCAATTTTTATGCTCTATGAGTAAGTACATTCCGAATTTGAAGTGATCTATTTTTTTGAAAGAATTATTTCATTTAGCTTTATTTCTTTTCAATTTGACCAGAAGGGGACAGAGTGAGATAGTGAGAGAGTGAGTGAGAGAGGGGAAGTGAGAAAGTAAGCCGCCAGGTTTGGGGCTAGAACCACGGTTGGCGACGGGGAGGTCCAGCGCCCTTACGCATCATGCCATCTGCCAGCCCTGATTTATAAAAACGTGTATTTATTAAACTGAGTTTTTACTTCTATAATTTTCCAGAAAACGTTTTTTCTTTTTAAGATTAGAAAAAATGTTTTATCCCCATATGGCGTGTTTGCTCACCAAAGGGGGGGGAGTAGTTTTCAGAGAGAAAAAGAAAGCGAGAAGTCACCCCATGGAGAGATAGCCACACAGCAATCTCTTCGCCTCCACTCTCCTCTTAGAATTTGGGGCTCGCACGCACATGCACCTGGCGTTTTCCCAGCTTCCCAGTCTGGGACTCAAACTGCAGAGTTGGCTATGTGGGATCCAGCCACCTTAACCTTCACACCACCTGCTGGTCCCCAGAAAAAGTTAGAAAACATAAGTGACTAGGCAGTTTTTAAAGTGGGAAGCCATGTTCAGGTGACACGTCTCTCAGGGACTACACTTCTGGACATTGTGATTTCAATGCATTACTATTTGGCTCTCAGAGGAACTAGTAGTGTGCTGTCTCTGTGTGTGTGTGTGCGCGCGTGTGTGTGAGAGAGACAGACAGACACAGTGAAAAAAACGGGAAGGTGAGAAGCTTTCTGTTACACAAATCTGTGTAACTCTCCTTCATATCTGGACAGTAGTGGACAGTAGACAGTGTAAATGCATGGCATCCGTAAAAGAGAACAATGGGGACCAACAGATGGCATGGTGGTTAAGGCACTGGACTCCCAAATGGTCAACTGTGGTTCAAGTCCCAGGCCTCACAGCTCGAAAATCATGCTGAGCACATGTGTATACATGCCCCAAATCCCAGGAGGAGAATGGACTGCAGTGTGGCCACGTCCTGGGGGTGATTTCTCACTTTCTCTCTCAATGTCTGTTTTTTTCTCCAGGGAGTGCATGTATCCTATGGCAAATAAATAAATAAAAATAAACCTCCAGTGAGAGACCAAAATGGTTTCAGTACTTTTAAAGGTATATGTATGAAGGTATATGTAATTGGATATTTTAAAAGTGCTAAAAAATTACTTTTTTAACATTCTGTTTCCGCACACATCCCACATTAAACAGAAAATCTCAAGTTGGAAAGTCTAACCTTTTCTGTTGGCTAACGTGAATGACTGACATTCCTCTTAAAACAAACCCACCAAGGGAACCAGCAGTGAGCGTAATGGCTATGTCGCTGGATTCCCACATAGTCGACCGCGGTTCGCGTCCCGGACCCAGTGGCTTAAAACTCACACCGGGCGCGTGTGTGTGTGCGTGCCCAAGATCCCGAGAAGAGAATGGAGGAGAAGGGATTGCGGCGTGACCATCCCCCCTGAGGGGTGATTTCTCGCTTTCTGTCTCTATGTCTCTCTCTGTCTGTCTGGTGAGTGCACGCGCCTTATAGCAAAAACCTCTCAAAACAAAACAAAACAAAAAACCAAAAAAACCCCAAACACAAACCCACCAAAATTACCCTGTAAGGACTGCAACTGAGCTGTTACCTGGTAACTGAAGTAAATAATTGTAGGGTTCAAGAAGAATTCTTTCAACTGTTTCTTGAGTCTTCTCCATTGTTTTTAAATCTCAAAACTGATCTGTCAACAAGGACAAATATAAAGATACCGTAAAACAAATGATATCTGAGTGTTAAACTGCAAAGGTATTTCTATCTCAAGGTGTTCTGGGAAGGCAGTCCTTCAGTTTGCTTTAAACAAAAATTCTACATAAAAAACCCCTTGAAAACATTATTTTAAGCCAGTTCACACATCATGAGTCCCATACTCAGAAGAAGCCGATCTGTGGAGATACAAGTCAATTAGTGGTTGCTGGCAGGGGAATAGAGACTGACTGCTCATGAGTATAGGGTTTCAATCTGGGGGTCAAAACGTTTGACAATTATTACAAAATACTATAAAATCAGGTTGTGGCTGTTCACCTGCAAATAAGCCAAAACCCACTGACTGCACACTTTCAATGGGTGGTAGCGAAGTTGTTATCTGCCAGAAGGGTGCATGCACCTGTACAAGGGAGTGGGAAGCATTTCCCACGGGGGCGTGGTCACATCGCAGTCCTTTTCATAGCTCCCTCCCAGGAGGGTTTTGGGCTTGAACATGGCCCAGGCGTGCTGGTCAAGCCTCCAGGGCTGGGATGTGAACTGTGGTTGGCCATGTGGGATCCAGTTCCCTATGCAATGCTTAACCACTAAATTGCAGGGTTGGCACTATGACTTTTCTTAATAAAAATCCTCCACTCAAGCAATTCCATTGGTAGAAGCATTCATCAGGCTTTTAAGTGGTTTTCTTCCTTATATAATGGATATTAACAATTTCCTATATTAATCAACCATGAAAGGTTTCTTTTCTTTAGTGCTTTTGCCATAGGGCATGTGTACTTGCTGGAAAGAGAGAGAAAGTGGGAAAGCGAGAAATCACCCCCAGAAAGGGTGGCCACACAGCAGTCCTTTCTCCTCCATATTCCTCTCAGCATTTTGGTCACACGTACACAATAACCTGGCGTGATTCTCAAGCTGCACAGACCGTGGAGTCGGTCAGGAAGGATCCAGCACCTTCACGCCACATACTGGCCCAAAGGGTTATTTCTGACATGAAATAAATGTCAAAATGAATCCACAGGGACCAGCAAATGGTGTAGCAGTTCCGTCTCTGGACTGCCACATGGCTGACCACAATTCAAATCCTGGACCTAATGATATGAAAATCATGCCAGGTGTGTGTGTGTGTGTGTGTGTGTGTGTCCAAGATCCAGGGAGGAGAATGGTAGAGAAGGTATTGTGACGTGGCCATCTCTCAGGGGGGATGATTTCTCACTTTCCTTCTCTGTCTCTCCAGTAAGTGCATGTGCCCTAAGGCAAAAACCTCTAAAAAAAAATCCACAGAGTTAGAAAAATACTTCTATATTTAATTGACTACATAAGTTAATAAACATGTTTTTGAGCATTAACAGGTATTTTTTTTTCATCACTCCATTTCAGTGATTCTGTTTTAAGACATACATTAGCTTGAGGGCAATTATATAAAAAAAATACTCCCTTGAGGGACCAGCAGTTGGCGTAATGGCTAGGTCTCTGGACTCCTATGCAGTTGACCATGATTCTAGTCCTGTACCCAGTGGCTTAAACTGATGCCAGGCATGTGTGCGTGCATGCCCAAGATCGCAAGAGGAGAATAGAGAAGGGATTGTGGTGTGGCCATCCCCCTGGAGGGTGAGTTCTGTCTCTCTCTTTCTGGCAAGTGCACATGCCCTATAGCAAAAACCTCTCAAAAACCAACCAAAACAAAACCAAAAAAAACCAAAACAAAACCAAAAACAAAACTCCCTTGTACTGCTTTATTATCCTAAAATTGGCATCAATTCACTATTTCTTCTTCTTCTTCTTTTTTTTTTTTTTGGAGATATTTTTGCTATAGGGCGCGTGCGCTCGCCAGACAGACAGAGAGAGACACAGAGACAGAAAGTGAGAAATCACCCGCCAGGGGGGATGGTCACGCCGCAATCCCTTCTCCTCCATTCTCTTCTCGGGATCTTGGGCACGTACGCACATGCGCCCGGCATGAGTTTTAAGCCACTGGGTCCTGGACGCGAACCGCGGTCGACTACGTGGGAGTCCAGCGACATAGCCATTACACTAACTGCTGGTTC